TAACCAGTACTTTTACTTTAATGTCTTGGTTACACATTACTGCTAATACTTATGTACTTCTACTTGATAGGATTTTTTCTACAGGAATTTACTTGTAATGAAGTATACTCCCTTTGCTGTACTGGAGCTTTAACCTAAGTAAAGGATCTGAATACTTCTTTTACCACTGCAATGATTTAGAAATAAGATTAATTTATGGAGTTTGTATTTTAGATGATTCTTTTTACACTATAGAGTGTCGGTTTCCAGACAGCCTTTGAGTACAGTGCGAAGAGGAAGCAAGTGTTCCACATCACAACTGGGAGCCAGGAGTTTGAGTTAAGATTTACTCATTATGTTGATTAAAGCTGTAGGATTTACAGTACTGACACAGGGACATAATATTGTTAATGTAAGCTCAGACTAGATACTAAAGCATCATAGGGTATTTTGCTTACCTAGAAATTGTAATATCAGGGGTTTTCCTGCCACAGAGTGGGCCTGTTGGCATCACTATGAATCACAGTAAGCCGAACTGATCTGCACATTACAATTCCCTGTTATTTCTTACCATTTGATGAATACAATTGTCTATTATGCTCCAATTTACCCCAATTTACAAAAATGGTTAAAAAAAATGTTTTTTTTTAAATTTTCATTTCTTATTATTTTGATGCTGTCAATTTTTCTTTGGAGCTGGCTAGAACAAACCTCTCTGAGGTGGGCTAAAATTCCTCTGTGTTGGAAAACCCCTAGATAATGCTTATTTATTCTCCTTCACTGATCTTTGATAGAGTTAATTAACAGTGACTTAATCCAGTTTAGTGTTTTAGCTGGAACTAAAATGGTAATAGTGTCTTTTACCATTACCAACAGCAGCAGGACTGTTTTGAGGGATGGAAATAAAATGTTAGTCTCTGTAATTGTATATATGTTTACTAATGCCTGTAAACTGTATCTTTGCAGTAAACTGCTGGGTGGAGGTATGGAGAGCATGGCTATCACAGAGGCCTTTGGAGGTGATGAGACACCCTTCTGTAATGTGCTCTGCTATTATGTGTTACTGCTGTTGAGCACAGTTTACTGTGTAGTAAATCCATGTAATATCCCTCATTTTTTTGCATAATTACATCTTTTAGAGTTCCGCACAGGGAAAACCCAGCTGTCTCACACACTTTGTGGTGAGTAAGGGGCCTTTTCAACACTGTCTGTTCCAAAGTGGCTATAACAGCAGAGCTGTGCAAATCAAATAAATGAGCTCAAACTGATTCTGTGTTTGTTCAGTCACTGCTCAGCTGCCAGGTGAAGACGGCTACTCTGGTGGAAAAGTCGTCTTCATTGACACAGAGAACACCTTGTATCCTTACAACAGGAACATCCAAACATTTGACATATTCAGTTTGTTCAAAGCCGTAAATCTCAGATTGACTGTATTTAAGAATTTATCATGTTTCAGTATGTGTTGTATTTTTTGTCCCAGTAAGACGTTTGGCTGCATGTGTCACCATGTTCGTGTCCCGTGTAATGTTTGCCACATTATGTCAGCAGGCGTCATAAGGTAACAGCTCATGTGTGTCCCATTATCCTTAACTTGTACTTGTCTGATTTTAGCCGACCAGACAGACTGAGAGACATCGCTGACAGGTTTAATGTGGATCACGATGCTGTGCTGGACAATGTGCTTTACGCCCGAGCCTATACTAGTACGAACACATATTACAAATTATTTAGACTTCAGCATTTTAATAGTTTGTGTTGTGCAAAGACTGAAAAAGTCACTCAAGTTTTTTTCTCTTCTTTGAAAACAGTTTACTTTCTGCTCTGTCTGCAGGTGAACACCAGATGGAGCTGTTGGACTTTGTAGCAGCCAAATTCCATGAAGAAGGTGGAGTGTTCAAACTGTTGGTAAGTACCAACACTTTATCACAAAGTTATTGTTTCATTGGCTTCAGTACTACCTTCTGTTTTATTATTTATAAAACAGATCAAGTTGGAGTATTAGGATTTTTTATTTTTTATTTTTGGCTTTTATTGAGCAAATGTGTACAAGAAATAAACGGCATAACATCTAAAAGTAAGGCAACTTTTCACTCTTCCTCTGTGCTCCTCTCTTTTAGATCATCGACTCCATCATGGCTCTGTTCAGAGTAGACTTCTCTGGTCGAGGGGAGCTGGCTGAGCGGCAGCAGAAACTTGCACAGATGCTTTCGAGGCTGCAGAAGATCTCTGAAGGTTTGAACCAGGAGTGTGCTTATATACAGTTGAAACCAGAAGTTTACATACACTGTATAAAAAGACATAAAACCTTTTTTTTTCTCGCTGTCTGACAATAAATCAGACTAAGCGTTTCCTGTTTTAGGTTTAGGATTAACAAAATTATTTCTTTTTGCTAAATACCAAAATAATGAAAGAATTTTTTTTGAGAATTTTCGGTTGCTTTCTTTAAAGTCAGAAGTTTACATACGCTAAGATTACTATGCCTTCAAACTATTTGGGAAAGCCCAGATGATGATGTCATGGCTCTGGAAGCTTTTGATAGGTTCATTGACAACATCTGAGTTAATTGGAGGCACACCTGTGGATGTATTTTAAGGCACACCTCAAACACACTGCTTCCTTTTGTGTCAGCATGGGAAAATCTAAAGAAATAAACCAAGATATCAGGAAGAGAAGTGTAGACCTCCACAAGTCTGGTTCATCCTTGGGTACAATTTCCAGATGCCTGAAGGTTCATCTGTTCAAACAATTATATGCAAGTATTAACACCATGTGAATGTCCAGCCATCATAGTGCTCAGGAGGAGACGGGTTCTGTGTCCCAGAGATGAAGCGTTTTGGTGAGAAATGTGCATATCAACCCCAGAACAAAAGCAAAAGACCTTGTGAAGATGCTGCTGAAGCTGGTCAGAGAGTCATTATCCACAGTGAAATGAGTTCTGTACCGACATGAGCTGAAAGGCTGCTCAGAGAGGAAGAAGACATTAAAAGCAACATAAAAAAATCCAGATTACAGTTTGTAAATGCACACAGGGACAAAGACCTTCATTTTTGGAAACATGTCCTGTGGTCTGATAAAACAAAAATTTAACTATTTGGCCTTAATGACCATCGTTACATTTGGAGGACAAAGGGGGAAGCTTGAAGCCTGAGACCACCATCCCAACTGTGAAGCATGGGGGTGGCAGCATCATGTTGTGGGGGTGTTTTGCTGCAGGAGGGACTGGTGCACTTCACAAAATAGATGGCATCATGAGGAAAGAACATTAGGTGGAAATATTGAGACAACATCTCAAGACATCAGCCAGGAAGTTAAAGTTTTGGCGTAAATGAGTCTTCCAAAGGACTGCAGGGTGGCGCAGTTGGTAGCACTGTTGCCTCGCAGCAAGAAGGTTGCCGGTTCGTGTCCCGGCGGGCACCGGAATCTTTCTGCCTGGAGTTTGCATGTTCTCCCCGTGCAGCGTGGGTTCTCTCCGGGTTCTCCGGCTTCCTCCCACAAGGTCCAAAAACATGTTGAGGTTAATTGGTAATTCTAAATTGTCTGTAGGTGTGAATGTGAGTGTGCTTGGTTGTCTGTGTAGCCCCGCGATAGACTGGTGACCTGTCCAGGGTGTCCCCTGCCTTCTCCCTAAGTCAGCTGGTGAGGATTAAGCGGTGTATAGATGATGGATGGATGGGTCTTCCAAATGGACATTGTCACTAAGCATACCGCCAAATTAGTTACAAAGTGGCATAGAGAAAATTTGTGGGCAAACTATTGTGTAAAGCTTGTGGAAGGAAACCCAAAACATTTGACCCAAGTCATACAGTTTGAAGGCAGTGCTACCAAATACTAATACAGTGTATGTAAGCTTCTGGTTTCAACTATATGTGCATGTATTTACTCTCGTGTATACAGAGAATATCTGCAGAAGTTGCTAGTTGTGAAGTACTGGTTTTTGTC